AAAGATAACAAGAAATATCCTATTTTGTCACAGATAGAAAGTAGATGAAAGAAGAGGGGGTTCCGATGAAGAATTAGATTCATTTAGCCCACTCTCAGGTTTAGTTGGAAGTCCTGGTGTGGTGCTGTGGGCTAATGCATCAGACTGCAAAGTCGTTTGAACTGCAAGGTCGGTGGTTCAAGCTTACCAGCTGCTCCTTGGAACCCCTATACAGGGTTACTATGGGTCGGAATTGACTCGACAGCACTTAACAACAACAACAACTGGTTTGGTTTATTACTATCTTTGAATTCAAAGAGGTTTGTTTTGAGTGAGAAGTTATAAATGAAATCAGGAGAGAGCTCATACATGAAATTTAATTTATTTACCATTAAGAATAAAAAGTAAGAGTTAATATCATAAAAATAATGAGATTTTCCTTATGGAGTTTAACATTCAATGGCCATTTAGCAAGTACCAAATCTATTCTGGTCTGTTTTGTTTTGTTTTTTAAAGAGGGTTCCAAGCAAGAGAAAGATAATACCCTAAATAGGCAAGGACCACCAAGAAACTCTCCTTTACATCACTTCTGTTTCACTGTGGATTATTTTAATGCCATAATCACATTAACCTTACTTGAAATGGGTGTCCTTAAGGGAACTGGAGTTTGAGTTTACCTATTGGGATAGGTAGAATAGATTGGTTTGGAATTCTGAGTATTATGGTGATCTTTTGACTGGGTAGGATCTTAGAACGCTAGGGACTTGAACAATTATAGGCAACAGTGTCCTTGTTTGCTCTTTGTATTCTCTCCAGTGACCTGACTCCTAATGGCCACAAAATAATATGAGGGGCTGCAAAAAGTCTATGGATAGGTGGAATGGAAAGAAATGGGAGTTTTTCCACAAACGCTTTCAAGACCTCTTGTATTGAGGAAACTAAAACTAACACCCAGCCATGTCTCTAGACTTGCTTATGTAAATAAAGAGACAAACAAAAAAGTTAATTGACTGTCACTGAGTCAACTCCAACTCACAGTGACCTGATAGAACAGAATAGAAGAGAGCCCTGGGTTTCCAGTATGGTAAATATTTATGAGAGCAGACAGCCTCCCATTTCTCCTGTGGAGCAGCTGCTTGGTTTTGACTGGTGACCTTGCCATCATAACTCACTAAGCCACCAGATTGCTTTTCTGATTTTTTTGGGGATCTGTGAAAAAGAACATAAATCCATTTTCCAAATAGTTCACACATAAACTGAAATATGAATGCATTTACATTTTCTGAAGATCAGAATGGAAGAAGAATCCAGAAGACCGCCATGAGAAAGCATCTGGAACAAGGAAGGTGTCACTGATTTTGGCCAGTCTGAACAGCAGGTATAGAATATCAGAAGAGGCATGAATTACAAAAATAATGTGAGGCTGCATCTGGTCATCTCACATCTCAGCCTCATTTATATCATCAGGGGCCCTAGAGTTCTGTCAGGGCTCTCTCCGGAAAGAGCTAACTTTGAGAAGCGGAATGTATGTTCTTGCCAGTTCAAAGAACAGAAGAAAGCTAGAGGTTAGTGGCTAAGAAGAGACTGTCAACAACTCATGGTCAGTAGAGCAAAAGACATCAGTAGAATGGAAGAAGAGTTAGATTGGAGGAGACAAGAGCAGGACTCCAGGGTTGCATGCTGTAGCTCTGGTTGTAGGAGAACGATTTCCTCACCTCACTAAAGGTCTGCTAGAGGTAATAGCTAGAAAGGATATATGGGGACAATAACAAACTTCACATTCCAGGTCACCAAACAAATGGAACAGTCAAGTTGTAAGATGTAGCATTCTGCTCTAAACAACTCACATTTGCACTCACAAACTGCTGAAATCTGGACAGTTTGGTTCTGGAAAAGATGTTCAATAGTTAATCGGATGGTCAGTTCTTTCCTTGAAGAAGTACAGAAATCATGACACGTTTTAATATAATTTGAGACCCAGAAACAAAGTGCACTGGGGAGATGAAGGCAGCAGTAGACATTGGGCCCTGTCAGAGAGAAGTAAGAAACCAAAGTTTATTTTTTAGACAGTATTGCAAAGGCTTTAGGATAACTGAAAAGGTTCAAACCCACCAGTCATTCCTCCGAAACTTTATACAGGGTTACTATGAGTCGGAATAGACTTGAAGGTGCTGCAGGATAATGCACTGGACCACAGGGTTGGTTTGAGGTGCTAGGTCGGTAGTTCAAATCCACCAGCTGATCCTCAGAAGCCATACACAGGGATGCAATGACTCAGAACCAACTTGATGGCACTTAACAAAGAAAGAGAAGAAACCCTATGTGCCAATAAGCATTTTTTAATATGCCTCTGCAAATGATTAATCTGATGATGCTCATATTAGATCTACTTTTCCTGAAGGCAACTAAGGAGAGAATTGCTGGGTTTGGCTCTATTTTTGTTAGTTGCTGCTGAATCAATTCAGGGTTCGCTCTGGTAGCATAGTGGTTATGAGTTGGGCTGCTAATTTCAAGGTCAGCAGTTCAAAACTACCTACTTTTCCATGGAAGAAAGATGAGGCTTTCTGCTCCCATGAAGATTTACAGCCTCAGAAACCCTACGCCGGGTCCCTATGAATCAGAACCCACTCCACAACTCTCTGGCACACCACCACCAGTCCCATAAAGAATCATCAACATTGAACACTTACGACCACCAGGGGGCAGAGGCAGCACAAGGATCTCTAATCCCTTTCTGGTGAATCTGGAAAGTGGTGTAAACCAATTTGGAAATCTGGACATTGAATTTCAGTCTTCTAATGGGATACATTTTCTCTATTCTGCATTTTCTGGAATGTAATCTCACCTCTGCCCTTAACTTATTAGTCTTGGTTTAGTGGTATAAGCATGACAGATGCCCCTAAATTTTTTATGATTAATAAATTAATCACTTAGGTATGTTGTATTGTTCATTGCCACATCCCCTGCACTTCTACCAGGTCCCAGCACATACCTGGTGTAAGTATTTGTTGAATGAACAAATCTCCGATAAAAGTTTTTTGGAGACTTTTTTGAGTAAGAAAAGGATGAAAAAAGATCAGTAATTATAATAGCTATCATTTATTGAAAGACTACTGTTATTAGCCACTGTACTGCCTGCATTTCATAGTTTATCTCATGTAGTCTTCTAACCCTCCATATTAGATAGATACTATTATTTCCATTTTATAGATGAGAAAACTAAGACTCAGAGAGGTTAGATTACTGGACTATCATCTTATGGCTGGTATGAAGCAGGCTCAAAACTTGAAGCCAAGTTTTCTGATTCCAAGTCTATGTCTTTTCCTTAAACATTGCTGTCACTATATCTAAGAGATGAAAACTCTTCGACTGAGGAGCCTCTTGAGAGCCCCCTTCATGTCCTTGTTCCTTAGGCTATAGATAAAGGGGTTCAACATGGGAGTTACCACAGTATACATCGCAGCCGCTGCAATGTCTTTCTCTTCAGAGGCAACAGAGGGAGGACACAAGTAGGCACTGAAGAGGGTGCCATAGAACACACAGACCACACAGAGATGGGAGCTGCACGTGGAAAAGGCCTTACCACCCCCGCCAGGTGTTCTCATTCTCAGGATTGCTGATACAATGTGGATATAGGAGATGACAATGCATATAAAGGGGACAATGAGGACTGTTCCTCCTAAAGCAAAAACCATCAACTCATTGATGTGGGTGTCAGAACACGACAGCTTCAGGACTGGAGTTATGTCACAGAAAAAGTGAGCAATCTCCCCAACAGTACAGAAAGACAGTTGAGTCATGAGCAGGGTGTGAGTCAGGGCAACAATGTTGGTGAGGACCCAGCACAATGCAAGCAACATGACACAGATTCGGGGACTCATGGCTGTAGAGTAGTAGAGAGGACGGCAAATAGCCACATAGCGGTCATATGCCATAACAGCCAGGAAGAAGCTGTCCAGATCGCCAAACATCAGGAAGAAATACATTTGGGTGAGGCAGCCAGCATAGGAGATGGTATGATGCTGAAGCTGTACATTCACCAGCATCTTGGTAACTGTGGAGGATGTTAAACCCATATCAACAAAAGACAGATTAGCCAAAAAGAAGTACATGGGGGTGTGGAGGTGCAGGTCAGAGCCTATGGCCAAGATGATGAGCCCATTCCCAGACAAGGTGACAAGATACATACTCAGGAAAATTCCAAAAAGCAACTGTTGTTGTTCTGGTGATGCAGATATTCCTCGCAGGAAAAATTCAGAGACACTGGATTGATTATTCCCATCCATGACTGCAGCATCTAGAGGCTAGGGAGGTGAGTTGGAATATTAGATTTCTTCTAAACTTCTACATGTGCTGATATCTAACTTCCAAATCTCCCTTTGTATTCACTATCACCCCAATTCTGGCTTTCCTTCCAATCGGACACCTTTTCTTCCTTACTTTGTTTCTCAAGAATTTCATCACTGTTTTGTTTCCCCTCTCTTTCCCTCTGGTCAGTTTTTATAAAGAAGGCACTCTTCCAGGGAAGTGCTGAGCATGCTCAGTCCATACCAGATTCATAGTTCATACTCATGTATACATGAGCAGACTGAGGTAAGTTAATCTTATATTTTATTTGGAGAGGACTCAAAAATACATACAAAATTCATCTTTTAAGAACCTCTCACACTGTCTCATTTTAGTGATGGGCATATGAAGCACTCTTGTCCCTGTATTTATTTCTTCTGAAATAGGAAATACTGAGCTCAGCATTTTCTTCCTGTGTTTGGGGGTTTTGCTGTTGTTTTAGTCATCACTATTATCATCATCATCAGGGCATGGTGACTCCTTTTGATAAGCACTGGACTGCCAGCCACAAGGCTGATGGTTTGAGCCCACCAGATGCTCCATGGAAAAAGATGAAACTTTCTGATCCCTCAAAAGAAACCATGCAAAGGGTCTCTATGAGCTGGGGCAGACTCAACGGCCCTCACCAACAATGACAATCATCATCATTATCCTGGAGCTAAAGTTTACTGGCCATTTATTAATAGCATATGTCGATTATGCTGCTAAATTCTTTACATTGATGTCTCCTTAATTCTGAAGCAACACTAGAAAGCAGATATGATCATGCTTACCATTCTATAGAGGAGAAAATTAATGATTAGATTGTTTAAGTTGATTGGCACAAGGGCTTCTAGCTAACGAATGTTTGAGACAAAATTCAAACCCATAGTATTGGACTTCAGAGACTGCACCACACATTAATATACATAGAAGGTAATTTTCTATCATTACATTTATATTTAATCTTCTGCTTTTCCTGGTTTGACATCTTTGTTCTCTTGTGGCCTCTCATCATGTTCTTTTACAGAAAAACAATGAAGCTTTGGAGCTGTATAGAACCTAAAAGATCATCTGGTTCAGAGGTCCTCAAGCATTAGTCTGTGGACCTGGTTGTCATAATCAAGTGGGATACTTGCTAAAAATACAGAATCCTGGTCCCCGTTTGAAATATACTGAATTTAATTCTCTAGGTAACAGTCTGAGTACAGATATGTACCACATTAACATCTGTTCAGGCAACATCCCAATCCCCATAAAGTCTATTATATTAAAATCTTGAGGTACATGAAATATTCATAACAAAATGGACAATACTATGTGACATGTATCAAAACATTACTATTGTTGTTGTTATTGTTAGGTCTTTCCTGTCAAATCAGTTCTGACTCATAGCGACCCTATGTCCAACAGAATGAACACTGCCCAGTCTGCACCATCCTCACAATTGTTACGTTTGAGCCCATTGTTAAAGTCACTGTGTCAATCCAACTCTTTGGGGGTCTTCCTCTTTTATGCTGTCCCTCTGCCTTACTAAGAATGATGTCCTTCATTTAAACAATTGTATATTCCTGCATGTTTTTGTGTATATCCAAAAAAAAAGAGGGAATAGAAGAAAATACTGTTAACCGATGATGCATGAAGGAGATTGTAATCATTGCAATGAAACAAATACAATAGATTGAGTGAAAAACCGATGTTCTCCCACGTAAACTATCACTCAATTCACTATAAAAACTTCCAAAAAAAAAAAAAAAAGAATGATGTCTTTCATCATAGCTCCTGATAACATAACCAAAGTATGTGAGTTCAAGTCTTACCAATCTTGCTTCTAAGGAACATTCTGACTGTACTTCTTCCAAGACAGATTTGTTTGTTCTTCTGACAGTACATTGTATATTCAATATTTCTCACCCACACCATAATTTCAAAGGTAGCAATTCTTATTTGGCCTTCCTTAATTATTGTCTAGCTTTTGAATGCATATGAGTTGGTTGAAAATACCTTGGTCAGGCACACCTTCCTCCTCAAAATGACTTCTTTGTTCTTTAACACTTTAAAGAGGTCTTTTGCAGCAAATTTGCCCAGTGAAATTTGTCCTTTGATTTCTTGATGGCTGCTTCCATGGAAGTTGATTGTGGATCCAAATAAAATGAAATCCTTGACAACTTTAATCGTTTTCCTATTTATTATGATGTTGCTTATTGGTCCAGTTGTGGGGATTTTTGTTTTCTTTAAGTTCCATACTGAAGGCTGTAGTCTTTGATCTTCATCAGTGTTTCAAGGTCTCTTCAATTACAGGAAGCAAGACTCTGTCATCTGCATATTGCTGGATGTTAGTTATTATTCTTATTCTAACTGCATTATTATGTTAAAGATGTTTTCCAGTATCTAGAAAAATTTCTTTAGTGTTTTCTATGCACTGAAAGGAGTCCTGGTATGACACTGTAGTAGGCTAAGCCCAGGACAGAAAGGTCAGGTTGAACCACAAGTTCACTAGCCGCTCCTTGGAAAGCCTATACTGGGTTGCTAGAAGTCAGAACCAATTCAACATCACATAACAACAACATGCATAGAAAGGTACACAATATTTATATTATATACTGAAATATAAACATTTGACTAACTGATGTTAAATACAAACTGTTCCTAAAGGCTTTGACTTATATACAAATTTGAGTTAAAGACAGACTTAGGAATGGAATGCATTCATAATCTGGGGAATGCTTGTAGATAATATGATGTTTTTTTCAACATCCAAATCACAAAACATCCTATATTCTACAGCACATTTTGTGGATGTTAAGTGAATATGACTGTTTTATATTCTAAAATAAAAACCACCTCAGATATTTTGGCCCTCAGTCAGCATTTTTTAAATTACACTAATGCAGCCTTTGCATTTGTTTACAAAGTGAAGTGATAGGAAAAGTTTACACTGTGCCTTTCAGAAAGCTATGGTACGAAAACCAGGCTATCCAGATTCTCAATCTAGGCTCTTTACATTAAGTGAACTATCATTCCATTTTACATTTCTTTGTCATCAATATCTTATAGACCTAAATGTGCCTCTATTCCCCATTTGATTCAGAGTCCAGAGCTAAAGAAAAATGTAATTTCAAAAAGATTGCAAGTTTTACTGGACATTGTTCACCACTTAAAACGTTAGCAAGATAAATACCTAAGAACTATTTCATCTTTGGAGTACTGGTGTGGTGCTGTGGTCTAATGCCATAGACTGCAAAGTCGGTTTGAAATATAAGGTTGGTGGTTCAAGCTCACCAGCTGCTCCTTGGAAACCTTATGGGTCAGAAATGACTTCATGGCACTTAACAACAAGATTTCATCTTTATCTATCCCTGAACTTTACACTACTAAGGAGCACATCTTAGAGTTACATAATTTTTTCTGAAAGTACAGAAGCTACAAAGGAACTTATTTTCTTCCCTAGTTCATCTCTTAGTGGAGAATAGTATGCTTCACAAAGACTAGACTTCTATGACTGGGCACAATCTAATAGCCATGTACTGAAGGTCAAAAGACTCTCGTAAGACTTGACTTGCTATGTTTTGGTCAAGATGTAGTCTGGCAGGCAAATCTATGTTTCCCAGACACTCAGATGCTGCCTACATCAAGTAAGTCATTCACATCCATTCAGGCTCTCAAAGGTATTGTAAGTTATTTTAAGAAGAGCTGTGTCTCTCTCATTATCTCTGACAACAACATCTCAAGTAGGCTATTCCTATAAAAGTAGAAGTCCCTCAGTCTCTGGCATGGACCAGTTGCCATTTGAAAAATTTCCAAATCCTCAAAAAGGGTTAAAAGTTCTCCACTGTAAACCCAGATTTTTACCATCTCTGCTTTTTGCCTCCACTCAAGGGCTTTACACTTTTATCTCTTGATCTATCTTGTGGTTCTTTCCTTCCCCTAAAGAATTTCATCCTTTATGAGAAAACTTTGTAGGTCATAAAAACACTAATGAGTTGCTTCCAGAAACTTGGAGCAACCTCTATCATCCCAGAGTAATGAGTCCCTTAACTTACCTCCACTATCTCTTGATCTATTTTGTCTGCCAACAGGTTAAGAGTTGACTTAGACATGATGGAGAGAGTATTCCAAAGGCAATCCCAATCCCTGCCAGTCTGCAACTGTTTTTCTCAAGTTTCTGTGCTCAGTGCTATCCTTGTTACTGAGAAGAATGGAAGTCAGATGTCCTTCCTTTTAGGTGGAAAATCTCAGATTATTCTTGAAAATTTTTGTGACAAGATTAACTGAAATCAGGGCTCAGGGCCAAGAATAATAAATACAGTTGGAATCAAAAGTGAGATTACTAAACAGAGAGAGAGATTAGGATTCTGGGTGAGGAACTCAAGAGAGCAGCAAAGTATGCAAAGCCAAGGTCAAATCTGAAGGAGAGGCTAGGATAGCCATAGTTATGTTCAGCAGCTGGAATAGAGAAGGCTTAAGGGAAAAAAAGTCTATACTGAGTACTTAAAGTGACCTGGGATGCATGATACTCTGATCCCACCCAACCTAGATCCTCAGGTGAATAAGTTGTCTTCTGATGCACGGATGCACTCAGGGACAGGTTACTAACAACACGAGTAGTCTGAACAGGGCTTCACTTTGAACATTAAAAGATACAAGGAGTCATGGGACAGAGTTCCCTATAGGCTTGTTAGAGCCAACCGTCATAATTGGCCAATTTCCCCCTGTACCTCTTTATAACCAACCAAATTAGTATAATTCTGGCTTCATTACGAAATGGGAAGCTTTACATCTCTCTTTATGTTAAATTGTAGCATGGGTACTCCATCATCTCTGTTAATCTCTCAAATCACTTACATAAAATAAAATAGTAATATTCTTAAGTATAAACAATAAAAATTGTTTAGTATTATGCAAACTGTGAATAAAATGCACTTAGAAAATTATATTTGCATTTATTTATAATCACCTT